TGCCCCCTCCAGCCTGGGAGGGATTTGTGCAGCTCCACTCAGTGCTGACCCCTCCAGCCTGGGAGGGATTTGTGCAGCTCCACTCAGTGCTGACCCCTCCATCCTGGGAGGGATCTATGCAGCTGCACTCAGTGCTGCCCCCTCCAGCCTGGGAGGGATCTATGCAGCTGCACTCAGTGCTGCCCCCTGCAGCCAGGAGGTCTCTGTGCAGCACAGTGGGGACTCAGTACTGCCTCCCAGGAGGGCTCACTTCCAGTTTCCCCAAAGCCTGTCCCACTAACGACAAGGCACAAGTCAGGAATGTGATGGAATACTCCCCACTTGCCCTGGATGTGGGCAGCTCCATCAACACTCGAGAAGCTCGACACCATCCAGGACAAAGCAGCTTCTGCTCGATTGGCACCACATCCACAAACATCCCACTCCCTCCCCCACCGACGCTCAGGCGCAGCAGTGTGTACCATCTACAAGATGCCCTGCAGAAACTCACCAAGGCTCCTCAGGCAGCACCTTCCAAACCCACGGCCACTTCCATCTGGAAGGACAAGGGGCAGCAGATACATGGGAACACCACCTCCTGCAAGTTCCCCTCTGTGTGTGAACATAGGTCCCTTCGAGATTGAGAAAAGGAAATAATAATGGGGAATGTGGAAATGGTGAGGAGCTGAATAAATACTTTGCATCTTTCACAGTACAAGACATGAATAAAATTCCAAACTATCCAAGGGCAAAGGCTGTGGAGGAATTCAACACCAATAACTATCAAGAGGGGACAAGATACTTGGGAAACTGAAGGAGCTAAAACCTCATAAACCTCGTCGTCCTTGTGGACTGGATCCGAGGATATTAACTACAGAGACAATGGATGCATAATGGATGACCTTTCAGGAATTCTTAGATTCTGGAGAAGTCCTAGAGGATTGGAGGAGGATTTGGGAATGAGAGGAGGATGGAGGAAAGAGAGGGCGGTGGGGGTGAAAGAGGGCGGTGGAGGTAATTGAGGGGGGATGGGGTAAAGGAGGGGGATTTGAGTAAGAGAGAGGGATGGCCAATTCAACCCCTTTATTTCAAAAGGGAAGGAGGCACAAACAAAGGCAACTCTAGGCTGGTTACATTAATACCAGATTTTCGGAAAATGTTCATGTCTATTATAAAGAGTGTAAAAGTACAGCATTTAGAACTAATGGGCAGCACGGTGCCTCAGCGGTTAGCACTGCTGCCTCACAGCGCCAGGGACCCAGGTTCAATCCCACCCTCAGGCGACTGTCTGTGTAGAGTTCGCACATTCTCCCCGTGTCCGTGTGGGTTTCCTCTTGGTCCTCTGGTTTCCTCCCACAGTCCAAAGACGTGCAGGTTAGGGTGGACTGGCCATGCTAAATTACCCATAGTGTACAGGGATGTGCAGGGTAGGATGGGTTAGCTGTGGGAAATGCAGGGATTGGATAGGGCAGTAGGTCTGGGTGGGATACTGTTTGGAGGGCCAGTGTGGCTCGATGGGCTGAATGGCCTACTCTACTATGCAGGGATTCTATGATTAATCCAATCCCATTCGCCAGCATTTGACCCATATCCGTCTCAGCTCTTTCTCTCCATGTACCCATTCAGATGCCTTTTAAATGTTGTCATTGTACCAGCCACCACCTCAGCACTGACCCTCCGACAGTGCCCACTCCCTCAGCACTGACCCTCCGACAGTGCCCGCTCCCTCAGCACTGACCCTCCGACAGTGCCCACTCCCTCAGCACTGACTCTCCGACAGTGCGGCGCTCCCTCAGCACTGACCTTCCGACAGTGCAGCGCTCCCTCAGCACTGAACCTCTGACAGTGCCCGCTCCCTCAGCACTGACCCTCCGACAGTACCCACTCCCTCAGCACTGACCCTCCGACGGTGCGGCTCTCCCTCAGCACTGACCCTCCGACAGAGCGGCGCTCCCTCAGCACTGACCCTCCGACAGTGCGGCGCTCCCTCAGCACTGACCCTCCGACAGAGCGGCTCTCCCTCAGCACTGACCCTCCGACAGTGCGGCTCTCCCTCAGCACTGACCCTCTGACAGTGCGGCACCAGATAAAGTAATGGACCAAGGCAACTATTGATCGAGCTGCCCCTCATTGAGACATGAGAGCATTGGCTGGTTGAGCATCTAAAGGGTTAAAGAGTTGTTGCCAATAATTTGTACATTGACCATGGAGCAGTTGTCAATGTGCCAGCGGTGCCCTCACTCTCACCTTGAGAACAGTTATAGGGCACACTGTCACAGGATATCTTGACAACAATCAATTCTGCTGTTACCTAACGAGATAAGGAATCGAATGGCAAACAGACTGAACCATTAAAAGGGTCTCTTATCAAGCTTTTACAATGCCACATGACATCCAAACAGTTTGGGAAAGCCACTCACTAACAGTAACCTCACAAGAAATATTCACCTAATCACTCATTCATCGTGGTCCCTGATACTGGGACATCAAACTCCCTGCACCAGGGCAGACCATTGGGCACCTCTGCTATGTGTTGTTAAAGATTAGTGCACAGTATTCTGAGTGTGGGTCTAACTGAGGGATACGGAGACTGGAACTGTGCACGGTGCTCCGAGCGTGGGTCTAACTGAGGGATACGGAGACTGGAACTGTGCACGGTGCTCCGAGTGTGGGTCTAACTGAGGGATATGGAGACTGGAACTGTGCACGGTGCTCCGAGTGTGGGTCTAACTGAGGGATACGGAGACTGGAACTGTGCGCAGTATTCCGAGTGTGGGTCTAACTGAGGGATACGGAGACTGGAACTGTGCACGGTGCTCCGAGTGTGGGTCTAACTGAGGGATAGGGAGACTGGAACTGTGCACGGTGCTCCGAGTGTGGGTCTAACTGAGGGATACGGAGACTGGAACTGTGCACGGTGCTCCGAGTGTGGGTCTAACTGAGGGATACGGGGACTGGAACTGTGCATGGTGCTCCGAGTGTGGGTCTAATGATGACTAAATAAAGCTGCAACATGACATCCTGACCCTTGTACTCAGTTCCCTGACTAAGCATGCCATACCCTTCTACTAGTGTGGCCACTTTCAGGGAGCTATGGTCTTGAACCCCAAGATCCCTGAAAGCTGTACAGATTATCTCATTTGTTCGTGGGATGTGGGCATCACTGGCAGTTATTTCTCGTCCCTAGTTGCCCCTTGGACTCAGCACCTTATTCGGGCTGTTTTGGGGGCCATTAAGAGTTCAGCCCATCACTGTTGGTCTGGAGTCACATGGCGGCCTTATCGGTTAGTTGTGACTCCCTCCAATGGGTTTTTGAGAACAGTCAAGACAGTTTCACAGTCAGTGTTCCCGGGACGAGCTTCCTATTCAGGATTGATTCATGGAATCGAAATCTCTGTGGCTGCTGGGGCTGGGATTTGAACCCAGGGTCTGCATCGTTCTGAGACATTACCTTGTGCTGAGGGGTGGCAGATGGAGTTTAATTTCGATAAATGTGAGGTGTTGCATTTTGGAAAGGCACATCAGGGCACTGAGGGTGGCACGGTGGCTCAGTGGTTAGCACTGCTGCCTCAAAACGCCAGGGACCTGGGTTCGATCCCACCCTCGGGTGATTGTCTGTGTGGAGTTTGCACATTCTCCTGTGTCTGCGTGGGTTTCCTCCGGGTGCTCCGGTTTCCTCCCACAGTCCAAAGATGTGCAGGTTAGGGTGGATTGGCTGTGCTAAATTATCCCAGTGATGGGCAGCTAGGTGGGTTAGCCAGGGAAAATGCAGGGTTATAGGGATGGGGTGGAATGCTCTTTGGAGGGTCAGTGTGGATTTGATGGGCCGAATGGCCTGCCCCTACACTGTTGGGATTCTATAAATGGTAAGGTCTGGGGGGGCAGGTTCATATTTCCTTGAAAGTGGAGTCGCAGGTAGACAGGGCGGTGAAGAAGGTGTTTGGTACGCTTGCCTTTATTGGTCAGTGCATTGAGTATAGGAGTTGGGAGGGTCATGTTGCGGCTGTACAGGACATTGGTTAGGGCCACTTTTGGAATACTGTGTGCAATTCTGGTCTCCCTGCTACAGGAAGGATGTTGTGAAACTTGAAAAGGTTCAGAAAAGATTTACAAGGAAGTTGTCAGGGTTGGAGGGTTTGAGCTACAGGGAGAGGCTGAATAGCCTGGGGCTATTTTCCCTGGAGCGTCGGGGGCTGAGGGGTGACCTTATAGAGGTTTATAAAATCATGAGGGGCATGGGTAGGGTGAATAGTCAAGGTCTTTTCCCCAGGGTAGGGGAGTCCAAAACTAGAGGGGCATAGGTTTAAGGTGAGAGGAGAAAGATTTAAAAGGGACCTGAGGGTCAACTTTTTCACACAGAGGGTGGTGCGTGTATGGAATGAGCTGCCAGAGGAAGTGGTGGGGGCTGGTACAATTACAACATTTAAAAGGCATCTGGATGGGGACATGGATAGGAAGAGTTTAGAGGGATATGGGCTGAATGGGACCAGATTAATAGAATCCCTACAGTGTGGAAGCAGGCCTTTCAGCCCATCAAGTCCACACTGACCCTCCGAGGAACATCACACCCAGACCCATTCTATCCCTACAACTTCCACAGCTAATCCACTCCAACCTGCACATCCCTGGGCACTATGGAACAATTTAGCACGGCCAATCCACCCTAACCCGCACATTTTTGAACTGTGGGAGGAAACTGGAGCACCCGGAGGAAACCCACGCAGACTCCACATAGACAGTCGCCCAAAGGTCGGATCAAACCTGGGTCCCTGGCATTGTGAGGCAGCAGTGCTAACCCCTGAGCCACCATGCTGCCCCATTAAAGATACCTGGTCGACATGGACAAATTGGACAGAAGGGTCCCTGCTGTACGTCTCTGTGACTCTTCACCATTGAGCCTGAGGGCCCAAGTCAGATCAGCATCAGACAAACCATCTTTGCAACTCCAACCTTGAA